GTAATTAGTTTAGTACTATCTGGACCATCACCATCAAATTCTCTTGCCAAAATCGGACTTTTCACCTCTCCCTCTCCTCCTTTACAGTACTGCTTAAAACCTACTCTAACTAGAGTTAGAGGTGTACAGCATGGAAACAGACCCATCGGTCCAACTTGCCCACGCCAACCAGATATCCTAAATTAATCTAGTGCCATTTGTCTTCATTTTGCCCATATCCCTTTAACCCTTTCTATTCATATACCCATCCAGATGCCTTTTAAATGCTGTAATTGTACCAGCCTCTGGTAGCTCATTCCATACATGCACCACCCCCTGCATGAAGAAGTTGCCCCTTTTATACCTTTCCCCTCTCACCTAAACCTATGCCCTCTAGTTCTGGACTCCCCCACCCCATGGAAAAGACCTTGGCTATTCAACTTACCTATGTCTCTCATGATTTTATAAACCTCTAAAGTCACCCCTCAGCCTCCGAAGCTCCAGGGAACATAGCCCCAGCCTATTCGGCCTCTCCTTACAGCTCAAACCCTCCAACCCTGGCAACATCCTTGTAAATTTCTGCTGAACCCTTTCAAGTTTCACAATATCTTTCCCATAGCAGGGAGACCAGAATTGAATGCAGTATTCCAAAAGTGGCCAAACCAACGTCCTGTACAGCCACAACATGACCTCCCAACTCCTATAGTCAATGCACTGACCAAGAAAATGCAAGCATACCAAAAGCCATCTTCACTATCTGACTCCACTTTCAAAAGAACTATGAACCTGCACTCCAAGGTCTCTTTGTTCAGCAACACTCCCCAGGATTTTACCATTAAATGTATATGTCCTGCCTCAATTTGCCTTTCCAAAATTCAACACCTCACATTTATCTAAATTAAACTCCACTGCAAATCCACACCCCACCAGCCTATCTGATCAAGAACCAGGTAGCCTTCTTCGCTGTCCACTACACCACCAAATTTGGTGTCATCTGCAAACTTACTAACCATCCCTCCTATATTCACATCCAAATAATTTATATAAATGACAAAAAGCAGTGGATCCAGCACTGATCCTTGTGGCACACTACTGGTTACAAGCCTCCAGTCTGAAAAGCAACCTCCACCACCACTCTCTGTCTCCTACCTTCAAGCCAGTTCTGTATCCAAATGGCTAGTTTTCCCTGTATTCCATGCGATCTAACCTTGCTAATCAGCCTATCACGCAGAACCCTGTTGAATGGCTTACTGAAGTCCATATAGATCATGCCCACTGCTCGCTTTCAACAATTCTCTTTGTTACTTCTTCAAAAAACTCAATCAAGTTAGTGAGACACGATTTCCCACGCACAAAGCCATATTGACTATCCCTAATCAGTCCTTGCCTTTACAAATACATGTAAGTCCTGTCCGTCAGGATCCACTCCAACAACATGCCCACCACTTGGACAGGTGAGCCTGACCTAAGCATTACTAATACTTCCTTCTGTGAATCCCATCAATTTTTGAACAAATACACTTCTATGAACCGCCTTAGTTCCTTTCTCAGTGAGATGTTCCATGTAAATTGATTGGTGAGATTGATTGATGATATTGACGATAAACATTGAGGGTCGAGATCACTCCAGCAAGATGCTGAACATTGAGCAAATGTTTCTTCTTAGGCTCTCCCCATCTTCAATAAATGATTGGGTGACTACATTGTCTGATTTCATACTCATCTGGCTATGGAAGGCCTCATTTCTCATAAGCTACTTTTGCCAATTTACAGTTGGACAGTTACAGGGACACATTACTGGGTTTGTAATGTGATTTACATCTACGGTGCATAATAAGTACCGAATGAGTACAAATACGATTAGGCATTTCTGTCAGGGATGTTTTCCCTGTGAAGACTCTTAGTTATAAGTGCCATGGTACATTTTATGGATAAGATGGTGATTTCTCAGAGAGCTCAGCAATTTCTTGAGAGAGTTCGGTGCTTATTTGTCAGATGGCAGTTTGTTCTCTCCCGATTTTCAAGAGCCCTCTCCTTATATATTTTGGATGACATATCAAAGTTCTTACAAGAGCATTGGTCCGAGATTGTCAAAACCATCAGATTTAAATTCAAATCGGCTTTCAATCGTTAAGTGCTTGCTTAAATTAATTGGCTGATTCCAGCTAGTTGCCAAAACAAGCCTAAGGTTTCCATTCACACAACCAATTGATACATGTTTCAATTTCAGAACTGGCTGTACCTGTTCAGCTGCTCAGACACATTTTTGTTTAAACCTTTGAGCTTAGAAAAGCACATCACCTCTTAAAGGGACTACGCACTCTTCCCCCACCTTATTTCTTTTTTGTAAACAAACGAATTCTAGCTTCCTACCTTCCAATTCATGATTGCTCTACACAACTTTGTAAAGAGAAAGATAGTTGTTTATTAAAACATAGTGAATAATTAAATTTTAAGTCTAATTTAGAAACATCACCTAGCAAATAAAGAAAACAGTCACAGAACTCAGCCAAGTCTGAAATCACTACATCTCAAAAGTTGCAAAAATCAGTCAAAACACTGACAGAACATTTACAGCACTTCCCTTCTTTTGCAATTCTCAAGGTTAAACTTAAAACCTTTAAGTTATACTGCACAGAACTTTCCAAGTTGAATCACTCACACTATGGCAAACTCAGATTAAGGAAAAGTTGAAATACATATGTCCAACACAGACAGCAGACGGCAGAGATACCGTGACTGAGACACATGGCTGGATTTCAGCTGGTTCCCATTGCTCGACACTTGGCAGCAGTGGATCTCTCCAACCCAAGTATGGGCCACAGATCCTCTAAACACCACTTGCAGCCTCGCATTTTTGACAAGGAAATGGTATGGTTCAGAATGTATACAACACAAACTGTTCCACATGATATTGTTTTTTCCTTGCGTTCTTTGAGCTTGTACCTGTACCTTTTTTTTTTTAAAATTAAGTTGAGCAACCTGGATGAAGGGAATGCAGAATGCAAGCTATCGTAAAGGCTAAAAAGCATTAAATCAAGAAGTGTTAGTAATACCAAGATACCATCTTGAAGATTCAGAGAGCAAGTAATGACTGAGGGAGATCAGCAACTCATGGGAAAATAATAAATTTGGAGCAGTGTCTTCATTTCAGTTCAACAGCAACTTGGATGAGGGGAAGAGAAAAATATTTGTAATGTTCATGACAAAGCAAAAGATTTAGATAGTGAGATGTTGGAGGCTATCCATGACAGAATATTCTTCTCCTACACCCCATGATCAATTCTACTCAAAACGTTAAGCATTCACTAATTTCCGTATTTATTGCAGTGTACGTTAGCTAAATAATCAAGTTGGCAGTGAGATTTACAGTACGCATGCAAAATTGATGACAATTAGCATTTAAACACTAAGAAATATACAATGGACCTTAAAGCCAATGGTTAAGACAATTAATCTTCATTTCACACAAAAATCAGGTACAAATACAGCACAGTCAAAATACCTTTGCTTCCAGAGCTTTCTCCCTAATTTCAGCATTCCGCTTAAGTGCTGACAGTTCCAGAATCTCCTTGTTAAGGAATTTGTTCTGTGTCTTATAACCCTGAAGACTGTCCTAGAGAAAGAAATGAGAATAATGGATACTTTGAAAATATGGCATTCCATCATAGACAAATTGAAATAACAAATAATAGAAAGCAATGTGCGCATGTATGTTGGAGGGGCAGGAAGGAAGAAAAAAAAGAGAACAAAATAATGCACAGATCACACCACTTAGGTTTTCTAATCAAGGATCAGAAAGACTGATTTCTCATGTGCCTGTGAGCAGAATACAATTAAACATCTGTGCCTCTGTAGTGTTTCAGCTTTCTTCAAAACCTAGGTAAAGGTAAAATTGCGATAGTTCCAGAGGACCACAGGAAGAGAGACAATGGGAGGGGAGTTTAATCTGAGGGTTAGCACGCCTCAGGCAAGGGGCAACTGAGAAGGTGGGATCTTCATGGTAACCTCAGCTGGCTCAGGAATTGAACCTGCGCTCTTGGAGCTAGCTTGCATCGCAAATACCGTCCAGTCAACCGAGTTAACTGATCAACAGTGAGTAGAATGATATATATGTCTGAACAAAAACACACATCAGTCTGGATCCCTCCCAATACTCATACATGTATACTAAATGTATAACAAATGGGTGAAAGCAGATTAATTAAAAAAGTTGGGGGAAGGGGAGTCAGCTTGCATTTGACAAGCTATACAAGATTGACACAGAACCAAATTTGCCATGTTTAAACAACCAGCTTTTGTTCTCAGTTGCATAACTCAAATCAAAACTTGGAGACAAAAGCAATGCATAGATTTTCAGACAGCCTTCAATAAAGGTGGCACACTGTAGATTTGTGACAAAAAGGTCAAAGAGAGTGTGATAGATAGCGAACTGATTCCAAAAAAGTAAATGGAAACAGATGGTAATTCAGACTGTTGAAGATGAAAGTGGTGCCCAACAGTTCCTATAGAAATCATTATTCACTGTTCACATAGGTTAAGCTCAACAATCAAGTATAATTTCATAAAACACAGATGTCATCAAATTGGGGAATGCTGAACACAGCAGCAAAATACAAGACTATATTAAACTTTTAGGGTATGAGTGCAATTGGCAAATAAAATAAAGTGTGAGGCGTAAGAAAGAGATGATATACTCCTTAGAAAACAAATTGAGTAAGCAAAAAGAGTTGCAGATGCAGATTCATAAAATTAAGAGCAGCAAAACAAGTGAGTCATAAAAGTATAACCTCTCCAGATTAGTAAAATTCCATATAAATACATTTTAACAAAGAGAAGCTTTATTAAACATATATTGTTAGACTATGTTCAAAAACACTTCTATTTAATATTAAAATTCATTAGTCACAGGTTTAGAAGGATGAACCATAAATACAAGATAGCCACAAATAACTTTAATAGGAAATTTATGAGAAAGGATTTAACCCAGATGAAAATATGGAACTTGCTACATACGGGGTGGCTGAAGCAATTAGCACAGACACATTCAAGGGAAGCCAGACAAGTATATGGTGGGGGTGGGTGGGGGAAGGGGGAAAAAGAAGAATATTTGGAGGAATGGCCTTCTCCTGGTCCTATTTCTTATGATATGTTACAGGTTGAGATAATCAGGCAGGAGGGGGGCGTTGATGAGGAGCAGAAAATCCTGCATAGAAATATTGGGGAAAAATAGGCCCGTAATGCTGTAAATCCAAGGTGGAGTTCTCCTGTTTTTCAAATGATTTACAGGGTGAGGAGGATAATCAAGTTTTTTTTTAAAAAAGAGATATCCACTTTGTTTGTGGCCACAACTGACAGTTTTATAATAAGGTCCAAACATCAGAATCATTTGATACCTTTAGAGTATCTAACTCTTGAAGTTCCTTGTACACAGAGGGTGCTAGAGTAGATCCTGAGCAGACACCAGGAGGCGAGTGCATGTTCTCACATTCATTGAGCTGCTGTGATAATTTCATAATCACTTCATCTTTGGCTTGAATGGTTTCTCTGAACATGTTAAGCTGGTCATTCAGCCCAGTAATTTTATCTTGAAAAGCTTTTAATTCTTGCTCCATGTGGTCTTTCTGTTGGTTAATGTGATCCAGCTGATTGTTGAGGGCCTGTATCTGGTGGTCTTTCTGCTGCAAAAACTGAGACATTCCTTCATCCACTGAGGCACCAGTGTTGAGTAAATATTTTTCCTGCTGGGAATGTTTCAATGTTTGCTGTAACAGTCGCACCAACTCCTTTGAAAATAATCAAATGTCAGACAGTTAATTGACCCTAATCCAACAGGTTTATGTAATTGATAAATTGATAGAATTATTAACTACTCTATTGTAATCAATAGATCAGAACTGATATTCCACACAACGATTTGTACTTATTTATTACCACTTTTAGCCTAATGCAAGAGGTTTCACAGACCAAATACTTGGTCAAAGATTTTAAGGAAAGTCTTAAAAGAAGAAAGGAGGACAGAGGGGTTTAGCAAGGGAATTTCAGATCAAGAGGCTCAAGCAGCAGAAGGCAGTCAGCAATAGTGGAACAGCTGAAATCAGGGATGCTCAAGATGTCAGAATTAGAGCAGCATGGATATCCAGAAAAGTTGGAGGGCTAGATGAGACTGCAGAGATAGGAAAGGGATTAGAAAGAAGGGTGAAAATTTTAAAATCAATGCGCTGTTTAACCAGGAGGTGCAGACAAGAGTTCCAGCAGCAGATGAGGCCAGAATCAGGTAGTGAGACTGAGTTTGACTTTCAGGAGAAATGCTGGAAAGCAGTTCTACATGCAAAGAGCAGTGGAGGTTTGGAACACACTGCCTCACATGGCTGTCGATAATAATTCAATTATTAAATTTAAATCTGAAATAGATATATTTTTATTAAGCAAGGGTATCAAGAGATATGGGGCCAAGGCAGGCAAATGGAGTTAGGCCACACAACAGCCATATTCTTCTTGAATGAAGATGCAGGATCAAGGGCTCAATGGCCTACTCTTGCTCCTATGCTCCTACCATTTGTTAAAATCATGGCTGATCTGATTGAGGATTTGAGGTTACAACCTAACCTTTCATCAAAACCTCTAAATCCCTTGTTAGCCAAGAATCCACCCACCTCTTCCTTAAAAATACTCAATTACTCTGCCTCTACCATTTTCTGCAAAAGTTGGGTCCACAGACTCAAGCATCAGAAATATATATCCCTCATTTCTATCTTAAAGCAGAGACCTCTCTCTTATTTTTAAACTGTATGACCTAGCTCTAATCTCTACCGCATGGGGAGGCATCCTTTCAGCAGCCACCCTATCAAGTTCCCTAGGCATCACACTGATGCCAAAAGTATGCAGGTTATTACTTATGCCTCCCTGTCCACAAACCAAATCTACTGACAGATTGCCCTTTTGTGACGATTGAATATATTGGATTCTTTTCAAAGATAACTTGTAAAAGTATTTGGCATTGCCAAACTGATATGAAACTTGCAGAAAAATGTTTTTGGAATCTTTCAGTTCTTTCATGATGTTCATGAAGGTGTATTTCATGCTTGCATCAGATGCAATTATTTAACAAACACTTATCAACAGCCTTAATAATTTATCAAATCACAACTCTCAATTGGATTTGGTCTAGATTCTCATGATAGCGTCGTAGAACATAGAAATGGGCCCTTCCACCTATCTTGTCTATGCTGACCAACAAACACCAAACTACAGTAATCCCATTCACCTGCATTTGATCCATAGCCTACTACACCCTGATATTTTAAGTACTCATCCAGATGCTTGTTAAATGTTACAAGTAATTGCCTCCATCAGCCTCTCAGGCAGCACCTTCCACATGTGTACCACCTGCTAGGTGAAATAATTTTTTCTCGGATGTCTTCTAAACTACATGCTCTTCACTTTAAACTTATGCCCTCTGTTCTTAGAAACATCTGCCATGGGAAGAGAGTCTCAAGATCTCTCAATTTTGTATGCCTCAATCAGATAAGGGGAACAGACAGACATTTCTGCCAAGGAGACTCCAGGATGACTTGCTGCCTTCCTGATACCAGAGTCAGGGATATCAATGAACAGTTGCAGGGCATTCTGAAGGGGGATGGCAAGCAGACAAAGATCTTGGTACATATTGTTACCAACAACACAGGCAGAAAGAGGGATGAGGTCCTGCAAGCAGAATTTAGGAGGCAAGGATGTAGATTATAAAACAGGACCCAAAAGGTAATAATCCTTGGATTACTTCTGGTCCCACATGCAAGTTAGTATAAAGTCAGAAATCACATATCACCAGATTATAGTCCAACATGTTTATTTGAAATCACAAGCATTCACAGCGCTACTCCTTTGTCAGCATTCCGAAAGCTTGTGATTTCAAATAAACCTGTTGGACTATAACCTGGACAACAAGGTGCAGGGCTGGATGAACACAGCAGGCCAAGCAGCATCATAGGAGCAGAGAGGCTGACGTTTCA